GGTTCGAGTTGCGAAAATCGTAGTACTCGGCTTCCAGTCCAAATAAGGTTCTTGATGTTCCGTACAAGGATTCTGCCAAAACCCCTCTCAGCATCAAGTCCTGGACTTGATGGTATAAAAACCCCGCAGAAGTGCCCCCCTCCTCCTCCCCAACTCCCCCGCACTTGTTTCCAGTCCTAACGGGGCTTCCCGCCTACCAGCATCCCGGACTACAGTAGCGCAAACATCGTGCCGGGACCCGGACGAAGCGATTCAAAAGACAGGGAGCGCGGGCAGCAAATGTGCGGTCGATTTCAGTACGTCCTTGCTGTGTTGTGCACACAACTGAGCCCTCTCTAGCCGTCTGGCACCCCCCGCCGACACTGCACTCTCTCGTTTTCTTTTCCGTCTGCCTCGTGCTATTTTGCGGGTTCTGCTACGCGTCGGCGTACGCGTGGCGGCGACAGCGAGAGGAAGACCGGCCGGCCGGCTGGCTCGCCTGGCAAGGGGGGTGAGCAGCTTCTCAGGGTTGCTGCTGCATTGTTGCCTGTCGGCTACGGCTGTCGCATCCTGCAGAATATTTCGAAATCTTGGGGAAGTAGGAGAAATGGTGAGGGGGGAGGGGAGGAATGCTTGCCGGGTAGGATGCCTAGATCGATTTCTCGGGGTTTCTGCGGTCCGCATCTCCCAGAAGTTTGTCCCGGAGTACCAAATTCACTGTCCCACGATACGAGCCCCGCAAAAAAACGCGGCAAATTTGGCGGCAAATTCAAATTTCGTTTTTTTTTTTTGATTTTTGTGAAATGTAAACGAATGAAAGGGGAAACTTTTTCGTAAAATGTGAAGGACCGAAAGGGAGAACTTTGTGGCCGAGAGCTGAATGAACAGGAAGCCGAGCAGGGTGGGGCACTGCTCGCTCTTACGTGCACCCTTATACTCAATGGGGAAAGTTTTGGCGGGAAATTTGATTGTCGCACGTTTTCACGTACGTATAAGTGTGTATGAAAAATGGTGGGGTACAAACTGGGGGGTCCTGTGATTACGGGATGAGGCTGTACCATACTCAATTTGGGCGAGCCTGCCACGGTATTCCCGTGAAATTTCGGCGTTTTGGCGGGAATTTTGAGTTTCGCGCGTCTTTACGTATTGCGAGGGTGTGGGACGAATGCAAAGATAAGGAGTTACGGAGCGACGTGAGGTTATTTTGTGCCCATTTTACGCCAGCGTGCTACGTTTTTTTTGTCAGAAAATGCGGTAAATTTGAGTGCCAAGGTTTTTTCTTGCACGCAGTTTAGGCATTTTTTTGTGCGGTAAATTTGAGCGCCACGGGTTTTTCTTGTACCTATGGGTGAAGGTGGTAGATGGGGCTTAGAATGGAAATCGGTTATTTTTTTTTTTTTTATCAAGTTACATTCAAGTTTGTCTTGTTCATTACCCGGGAATGTCGATATTTTGGTTGTAAATTCAAAAATTTCAACAAATTGGGTGCGACGGGTACCCCCTCCCCTCCATCCTCGCGCCCCATTTTCCCTCACTTTCCCTCTTCCCCTCATCCACCCATCGCATCCCTCTAAGTGAACCGGGCTCAGAACTGTTAGACAAGTGAGGGGCGAACTCGTTACTTGTCCATTTTACATTGATCACAGGCATTTTCCAACCGTTTTTAACGATAATTTTGTATTTTTACACGTTTTCACGTGTCTTACGTGAAATTTTGGCATGCTTCACGTGTTTTTATCCATTCGGCGGATAAATGCAGACGTGTGGGGCGCGGGGGTGTACGTGAGGGCGGTGCATACCTGGGGGATTTACGTCATACATGGATTGGGAAAGTCCCCTAAAAATTTCAGCCTCCCAACTTTGCCAATTTTCCCGCCAAAACACTGGAATTTCCGGAAGTCCCCGGGGATTTTTCATTGTGATCGAGCATTTTTGCACGCCGTTTTCACGTGGTTTACGTGGAATTGTTGCGCACTCTCCTGTGCTTTGTTTGAACAGCTAGTGGATGCAGTTTGGAAAATTCCTTTTTTTTTTGCTTTTCATCGATTGTTGCGGAGTGAATGTGCATTACTCATGGCGCTGGAAGCATTGAGTCCCATATCAGATTGATGAAATGTACGTTTTTAAAAGCCTTTCGCAAAAAATAATCAAAAAAAAAAGCTAATTTTTGCCCTGCTCGGTCACGCTCTGCGGAACATTCACGTGTTGTTATTGTTTGAAAAGCCCCTTTTCCGGATTTTCATGCATTTTGTGCTGTGTAACAGCAGCACAAAACACATGTTGTCATGGGATTGTCTGTGCGGGTACATGTGTGTGCACGTGTGTGTACGTGTGTGTGTATTTGTGTGTATTTATGTGTGTATGTACATGTGTGTGTGTGTATGTGTATTTTTATGCGTCTTCATGCGTTTTTGCCGTGCAGCGCTAGAGCGCTGTAAAAAGCAGC